CATTATAGGAGCAAAAGGCTTTGAGGAGCAAAGAGGAACCCTGGACACTACAGGAAGGAGTCCTATAAATCACTATAAACCGGATTGCATGGGACCCAAAATAGGTATCTACAACCACGATTTCATATGCGCCTGCAACTGATTCCTTGAACACAAGATTGTACGGAATAGAGTGTCTTATAAGAAGAAGAACCCCACCGCCTTTTTTACGTGTACGATCACACCTAACGTGATCAAATTGGGAACTAGCAACACCTAACAGGGAGGACATTTCGGTACCGGAGCACAAGATTCCGAGAGGAAAACTAGGTCGTAATTATTTTGAAGTAACATGGCAACAACAAATTTAGAGTTTTTAGGAGAAGACCTTACATTTGACATCATACAGGAGACCCCGAATTTCCTAGGCCGAAGAAAAGTAAGAGGTTTGACGCTTGCGATGATTGACGCACTGTATAACGAATATTTGAAACTACAACACTCGAAGGAACCAAGGTACTTTTAGGATCAGAACCGCGTTGAGAGTGGCCAGCCATACGCTCCTTACGCCTGCTTTCCCTTTCTTCTTTAGTTAAGGAGGGGCGAAGGAAAATACCCCTTTGAGAAAAGGACCGCAGGTGCGGGGCGCGTATCTTGACTGGAGCAAAACTTGAGATTTTTCCTTTTGTCTGCTAGCCATAGTGGTAAGAACGTATGAGCTTACTTGTATGTGCTGAGAGCAATTTTTATCAGAGCGCACATTGCTACGCACATTAACGGCTTTGACGCTTGGGTTGGCCTTACAAACTTGTTGATTAACACATTGACGACCGTGTGGTATGATGTCATACCACACTCTTTCGGCCACGTGGGACCGTGTGACATGATGTCATGTCACAGTCTTTTTTAAGCTGGTTTTCAAACATTTTAGGTAACTTATTTACGTGATGTATGCGCCATACTTAGGCATTGTTACAAAAGGCGTGGTCCCTGGAAAGAAGCTTCGGTTGATGGGCTATCGAGTTTTTCTAAAAATGTTTGAATAATGATCAAATCACAGGAATCGCTAAAATGGCCAAAATCGCATAATCGGAGACCTACCACACAAGAAAGATAACAAATACACACTTCCTGAGAAAAAGGAGTTCTCGTGGGACCGTGTGACATGATGTCATGTCACACTCGCGCGGTCAAAATAATGCGCGCGGTCCCACACGCCAGACAGCGAAAAATAGCGCGGTCGTCAACGTGTTAAAGAGCTGGTCCAATTTAGCAACACACATTATCGGATTCGCAATATAAGAAAACGGTGAACTGTAACGGAACATTTTTCAGACATGCAATTCCACAAGAAAAATTTTTAGAATTATTTTTCCGAATTTTGGCCGTTTCATAATATACGTCCACCCTTCATAGATGACTCGGGAAAATTTTTCCTGTTTCAACCGGGGTACATATCCGTACCAAAATCCAAGACGACATGTCTCCTTGCGATGCCGCGTGGTCTCCGTCTCTCTGTAGAAGAAAAGGCCCAGATTCGGGCTCTCCACGATGCCGGACTCAGCAATCGACAGATTGCCAGCAAATCGGCAGGACTCACTGCGTGGTTTGCTCTTACCTCAGAGATCCTGAAGCCTACGACAACGGAGGTGCCCGAGGACGTCAACGCAAGTTGTCCAACAGAGATGAACGAGAAATTTGGAGGAAAGCCTCGAACAGCACCAGCAGCGTCAACCAGATCCGTGCAGACTTGCAGCTGTCTGTCTCGAAAACGACCGTATGGAGGCCCGTCATCATCCCATCACGCAGCGGCAACATTGTGAGAGAAGTTATGAGAAAGGCGCCACGCCTTACCAACGCGCACAAGATGGCTCGCCTCGAGTTTGCCCGGAAGAACGCGACCACGGATTGGAGACAGGTGCAGCTGTAGAACTAGGCGAAGCTTATGCACTGTAGAGTAATTTAAAGTCTTTAGGTGATCTTTTCCGACGAGAAGAAGTTCAACCTGGATGGACCCGATGGAGCCAGATGTTACTGGCGTGACCTGAGGAAGGACCCAGTGCAGTTCAGCAGACGCAACTTCGGTGGCGGTTCGCTGATGGTTGGGGAGCCTACTGCTGGGACAGCAAGCTGGAGCTCGCATTTGTTTCCTGCCGAATGGACTCAGAAGAGTACCAGCAAGTTCTGGAATCCAACTTATTGCCGTTCCTGAGTCGCAGGCGACGACAAAGGTTGGTCTTCCAGCAGGACAATGCAAGTGTTCATGCTAGCAGGTCAACTTCCGCATGGTTGCAGCGACAGAAAGTTGAGGTTATGGCGTGGCCTGCGTGCAGTCCTGATCTGAACCCAATGGAGAACCTTTGGGGAATAATTGTGCGACGGGTTTACAGTAACTTTCAATATGAAAATATTCAACTTTGCAACTGCTACAAAGCATATTAATGCCCGAATTGCGCTCCTCAATGACAAAATTCTCCGCTACTTTGTCTGATATAGAAAAAATCGGTCATAATAATGAACCTTATTTCTATTTTCCACACATCTATTCTGCGCAATGATATTATAACTTTTACGAGAGAGACTCGACGAGATTACTTCGAAATTCATATGGTCATGCCCACGCTCCCTCAACATCGACGTGGAAAAGAACAAATCGCTTCGTCGTGTTCCTTGCGGATCGAAATCGGGGAACCATTTTCAGGCTTCAGGAAGGAACGAAGACGGTTAAAACATGTTTAAGAGAAGGAAAATAAGATACACGGGCTGTTATAATAGTAAAGTCCTGGTACACCCTATGATGCTATGGACCAATGCATGAATATGAGAAGGCTTGGAAAAAAGCTATCCTTCCGGAAAGGAGATCCGGA